TTCATTGCCATAAACGAAACAAAGTGAAAATAATTCTTAAGGTAGCATTATCGCGGAGATTTCTATTTTGCATAAAGTACACAATGAAGATACCTGTTGATTAATCTCATCGAAAGGCGACGGCCGATGCCCGTTGCTCCGCGGCCATTTAGATTTGATACGACGTTAAGATCGACGAGGTCCTCATTTGCTTTTACAAGAAAAGGAGGATGAATTCAGAGTCTTTTGTTATTATTCTGAGCTATGGCCTAGATTGCGTACATTTATTGAAAAACGCACAGACATACAGCCATATTCGAGCATAATAAAAGTAAACATACTATTATACAGCAATCAATCCATCCTTATATGATGGAAAAAAACTCAGCCTGGTTTCACGCAAAATGAGGATGTTTCGTAAACTGCAACAATCTGAGCATCGTATTAAAGTCAAAAGGCCGAAGAGCAACGGAAATGAGCCGTCATTTTCCGGTGTGATAGATCTACGAAGCTCTTCAACATGCAATTTCATAAGACAAGGTCTCCACAGCGTATACACGTGTTAATATTAACTCAATATTGACATACAGTTGAATATGAAAAAAAAATTTCTATTCTCACGCATGCAAATACTTGAGTGTAGAGCCCTGGATTTATTTACGATATCTGATAGAACTGACCGGATTCGACAGGATTTTGGGGGTCTGTGTCCTCGATTATGCCAGCATCAGGTCCCATATGATGCTCCCCGTTTGTGACATCACCAGCACTGCCAGGGTCATCAGAACTACCAGTTGTCTTTCGGCGTTTTTGTTTTTCGCGCTGAAATCTTTCGAGGAGAGCACGCTTCCTGCTGGCGGGCATAGGACGGAGACGAATCTTACGCTCTTCCTCGTCTTCCGATTCCTCTCCGGCAGCTGAAGTGGCTGCTGCATCGCATGTCGCTCGCTTGATTGACGTGTAATCCGTCTCGGTAACTATTGTATCGTTTGTCGAGAGACCAGTAATGGAGTCCAGAAGGTCGGTTGACTTAGTTGAATCTGATTGCCGATGTGAGATTATAGACTTAGATTTCTTGACCTGAATAATGGGATATGAAAAGTATATTGGCTGGATCAAGATCTCCTCAATGTCTGCTCTTTTTAACGAAGCTAAATGCATCGATGAGATTGTAATATAAGTAAATTATCACTATAAAAAAAAGATTTCTTATACCATTAATATATAGGCATAGTTCATTGAGGACAATCTGTAACAAGGGAGCTGAAAGCGAGCAAAGTTTCAAATCGAATCCATTATATTTTAAGACAACTCTGCAACCTCGCTAGGAGCTATACACATTGATGTAGGGGTATATTTCGACTAAGTTGAAAAGACAATGTACAATGTTAAAACCCCGGGTG